GGCAATTCTGGCTTCCAAGGACCACTCTGGTTGTACTTCTTCCATCACTGACTGATTTTTTCTTTTGGAAGTCATGGTACTTTTAATATTCTCCTCCAACACCAATTTTAATTCAAATGCATTAATTCTTCTATGGTCTTCCTTATTCATGATCCAGCTTTCGCATGCATATGAGGTTATTGAAAATATGATGGCTTGGGTCAGGCTCACCTTAGTTCTCAAACTGACATCTTTATTCTTCAACACTTTAAAAAGGTCTTGTGCAACAGATTTGCCTAGTGTAATATGTCGTTTGATTTCTTGACTGCTGCTTCCATGAGTGTTGATGGTTGATCCAAGAATCCATTTATATAGATTTTTTTATTGGCCCTAGTGGTGAGGATTTTTGTTTTTTTTACATTGAGATGCAATCCATGCTGAAGGCTGTGGTCTTTGATCTTCATCAGTAAGTATTTTAAGTCTTCTTCACTCAGCAAGCAAGGTTGTATTGTCTGCATATTGCAGGCTATTAATGATTCTTCCTCCCATCCTGATGCCATATTTTTCTTCATATAATCCAGTTTCTAGCATTATTTACTCAGCATAAGATTAAATAAGTATGGTGAAAGAATACAACCCTGGCGCACATCTTTCCTAATTTTAAACCATTTGGTGATCCCTTGTTCTGTTTGAATAACTGCCTCTTGGTCTATGGACAGGTTCCTGATGAGCGCAATTAAGTGTTCTGGAATACTTATACTTCACAATGTTGTCCGTAGTTTGTTATGAGCCCCACAATCAAAAGCCTTTGTATAGTCAATAAAGTACAGGTAAACATCTTTCTGATATTCTGTGCTTTTAGCCAAGATCCATCTGACAGCAGAAATGATGTCCCTTGTTCCATCTCCTCTTCTGAATCTGGCTTCAACCTCTAGAAATTCTCTGTAAATGTATGTTTGCAGCTGTTTTTCTATTACCTTCAGAAAAACTTTACTCACATGGGATATCAGTTATGTCTGATGATTTCTGTGTTTTGTTGGGTTACCTGTCTTTGGAATGGGCACAAATATGGATCTCTTTTAATCAGTTGACCAGGTAGTTGTTTTCCACATATCTTGGCATAGATGAGTGAGTGCCTCCAGTGCCACATCAGTTTGCTGAAAGATTTCAATTTGTATTCCATCAATTCCTGGTGCCTTGTTAATTGCCAATGACTTCAGTGCACCTTGGACTTCTTCCTTCAGGATCATTGACTCTTGGTCATATGCTGCCTCTTGAAATGGTTGAACATTGACTGTTTCTTTTTGGTATAGTGACTCTTTTATCCCTTCCATCTTCTTTTGATGCTTTCTGCATCATTCAATAATTTGCCCAGAGAATCCTTAAATAACTAAAGTCGAGGCTTGAAGTTTTTCTTCAGTTCCCTCAGCTTGAGAAATACTGAAGAAGTTGATAAAGTTCTTCAGTTTCATTACCACTGTTTTAGTGGTTGGTGTGTAAATTTGGATAATAGTGGTGTTAACTGGTCTTCCTTCTAGTTGTATGACTATTATTCTCTCACAGACAGCGTTGTACTTCATGACTGATCTTGATATGTTCTTTTTGTTGATGAATGTGATACCATTCATCTTCAATTTTTCATTCCTGGTATAATAAACCATGTGATTGTGAGATTCAAAATGGCCAATATTGGTCAATTTCAGCTCACTAATGCCATGGTATTTTCAATAACCTCATAGGCATGCCAAACTTCGTCTCTCATACTTTGGACATATTGTCAGGAGGGACTAGTCACTGCAGAAGGATATTAAAGGAGCTCTGGTAGCGTAGTGGTTACGAATCGGGCTGTGAACTGCAAGGTCAGCAGTTCGAAACTACCAGCTGTTCCATGGGAGAAAGATGAGACTTTCTGCTCCCATAAAGATTTATAGCCTCGGAAGCTCTGTACAGGATCACTATGATTTGGAACCGACTCCATGGCACATAACAACAACAACAACAAGGTGGAGGGTCAGAGAAAAAGAGGAAGACCCCCAATGAGGTGGATTGGCCAAGTGGCGGCATCGATGGACTCAAGCATGGCAACAGTAGTGAGGTTGGCCCAGGATCCGGCAGTGTTTCCTTCTGCTATGCATAAGGTCATTATGAGATGGTACCGACTCGATGGCACCTAACAACAACAACAACAATGCCTAGGATATCGATGTGTGTGCATTCCATTTCATTTTTGACGATTTCCAATTTTCCTGCATTTATACTTTGTACCATTTCATGTTCTTATTATTAATGGATGTAAAAGTTGTTTCTCTTCATTTTGAGTTGTGCCCCATCTCTAAATGAAGGTCCCTAAGTGCTTTATTTCATTGGCATCATCAAGGTCAACTCTACCTAGAGGAGGTGGCTCTTCCCCAGTTGCATGAGTGCCTTCCAACCTGAGGGACTCATATTCTGGCATTATATCTGACAGTGTTCCACTGCTATTTATAAGGTTTTCATTGACTAAGTATTAGGAAGTAGTTCGTCTCTCCTTCTTCCTAGTCTGTCTTCATCTGGAAGCTCATTTGAAACCTGCCCACCATGGTTTGTTGTTGTTAAGTGCCGTCAAGTCGGTTCCGACCCATAGCGACCCTGAACAGGGTTTCTGAGGCTGTAAATCTTTACGGGAGCAGAAAGCGTCATCTTTCTCCCACGGAACAGCTGATAGTTTCGAACTGCTGACCTTGCGATTCGCAGCCCGATTCATAACCACTACGCTACCAGAGCTCCTTCTTGTTTGTATTCAAAATTCCCGTGGCACTGCATCCAGAATCACAGCAACACACAAGCCACCACTGTATGAGAAACTGACAGACAAGTGATAGAACTTAATTAGGAACCAAAAAATAGCTAAAACATACAAATAAGTTAATAAAAATAAAAATGAAAATAATTTAATAAGGTGGTTGCTCTTTGTATATGTTGTTTTGTTGTTAAGTGCTGTCGAGTCAATTTTGACTTGTAGCAACCCTGTATAGGGTTTATGAGGAGCAGTTAACAAGGTAGAACCACCAACCTTGTGGTTCATAGTCCATTACCAGGAATCTTGAGTATATAATTCTAGCTAATTATAATTTTGTTGTCCAGTTTAGGTTTATTCTTATAAGTAGAAAGCTCTTTGTATTGACTGACGAAGAAGTTTGATTAGGACTATGTTATATGTCCTAATCCTTCGATATGGATTATATCTCAATGTCAAGAAAACAAAAATCCTCACCACTGGACCAATAAACAACATTCTTATCAATGGAGAAAAGATTGAAGTTGTCAAGGACTTCATTCTTCTTGGATCAACTATCAACTCTCGCGGAAGTAGCAGTCAAGAGCTCAGACGATGTATTGCGCTGGGCACATCTGCTGCACAGGAACTTGTTAAAGTGTTGAAGAGCAGAGATGTCAGCTTGAGGACTAGGGTGCGCCTGACCTAGGCCATTGTGTTTTCAGTAGCCTCATATGGATGCAAAAGCTGGACAGTGAATAAGGAGGATCGTAGAAGAATTGATGCCTTTGAGTTGTGGTGTTGGAGGAGAATACTGAAAGTGACATGGACTGCCAAAAGAACCAATAGATCTGTTTTGGAAGAAGTGCAGCCAGAGTGCTCCTTGGAGGCCAGGATGGCTAAGCTTCGTCTCTCCTACTTTGGACATATTGTCTGGAGGAAACAATCGTTGGAGAAGGATGTCATGCTGGGTAGGGTGGAGGGTCAGAGAAGAAGAGGAAGACCCCCAATGAGATGGATCAGCCAGGTGGCATCATTGATGGACTCAGGTGTGGCGGCGGTAGTGAGGTTGGCCCAGGATCGAACATTGTTTCGTTCTGCTGTGCATGGGGTCGCTATGAGTCGGTTCCGACTCTATGGCACCTGGCAACAACAACAACAACATGTTATATGTCCTGGTGTCACTTTGTGGGAGAAAGCACTGGAATGAAAGGTCAGTTTGAACCACGAGGTTGGCAGTTCAAACTCACCAGCTGCTCCTTGATACCCTATACAGGGTCACTATGGTACGGAACTGACTTAATGGCATTTAACAACAACAACAACATATATCAGGGGTGAGGAACATCCGGCCTCTGGACCATATAAGTAGAGCGAAATAATTTGGTCTGGCCTTGCCAAGGTAAGTGCAGTTCCTGCCATAATATTATGGGTGAGTTATTGAAATGTTTGACAAACATAGCTGGCAAATTTTTAAGATGATAGTTTTGTATGGTTCAAGAATGATATCATAAACTTTTGCAAAAAAAGGTTCCCCACCCGCTATATATGATAACTGGAGTCCTGCTGTAGGATAAGCACTCAACTGCAAAGTTATTTGAATTGCAGGGTCCGTAGTTAAAACTCACCAGCCGCTCATTGGAAAACTCTATGTATATGAGTCAGAATGCTTAACAACATTCTAATATTTTATCATCCTAATATTCCTTTCAATTTCAGATGATATAGAAGAATTCCCAGGTTTCTCTTTGACATAAGATCTGTAATTGATTTGGAATGCAAATCAGTAGAAGGATTGCTCAATTGGCAAAAGGACCATAATGAGTTCTGAGTGTTCTTTCATTAAAGTAAGACAGATTGTTTTTAAGGTGTAGATGGTAGACAATAAGGTAGACTATTGGGCTGTTAACCACAAGGTCAGTGGTTCAACTCTACTCGCAGCTCCAAGGAAGAAAGATGAGGCTGTCTGTTTCCATAAAGATTTATAGTCTTGGTAACCTAAGGAGCAATTCTATTCTGTCTGTTGGATTGCTTTGAATTTAAATTGACTCAGTGGCAGGGAACTTGGTTTTGGTATGGTAAAAAAAATTTACTTGAGATATTTTCTGAATGATCATGTCTGATTAAATTAATTTGTGGCATTTAATTTTAAAAAGAATGTTTCAGAAAATCTCTTTATAACATCAAGTGGGATTATGTTTTTAGGTTATTTTTAAGTCATTGCATTTACAAAATTGACAGGATTTCTTTTCTTTTTACCGTTTAGCCGGCCTCAGAAAGTATGCTTATGTCCATTTCTACCAGTACATCCTCTACACATCTCTACCCATTTGTACATAATTCAGCATCCAGCAGAGGTAAGATTGTTTAAAATACACAATTTAAAATTGCGTATGCAAGAGGAAACATATAGATGAATATACTCCTCTCTCCTACCTCTAAAGCATTTCTGAAAATACATTGATATAATGTTTTCTCTTTGGACAAAATGTTTGTTTATATTTGTTTTGTGATAGTATAGGGTTATATACTTCATAGACATTCCATTTTATAGAAACTGTAATATTGAATAGTATAGAAATTTAAAGCCCCAATTACTTTGCATGAAGACAGAATAAATGGATGAGTATAGGATCACCTTTAGACAGATGAGATTTTGTGTGTAAAGAGCTAAAATAATTATTGCTTTATTTTATTGCATAATTTATATTCCTTGATATTAAAATGGAAGTAACTCCCAGATTTCTTGTTTAATATCAACGAGTTGGTTCTGACTCATAGCAAGCACATACAGGGTTCATGAAGAATGGTTAGTAGGTTTGAACCTCCAACCTTGTGGTTAGCAAGCCAGTACTTATTCTACAGTGCCATATCAGGTAGTGCTATAAAATTCATATGTATGATAAATTTTGTTTCTTTTAGATAAATGCAACAAAATTTATATTTTATATATGATATATTTTTATATTACTTTCCTAATCTGGTTAAAATTATGTATGTGCCAGTGTGCTTTTTATTCTGGATTAACTGTAGAAATAAAGAGAGGAGGAAAGAGACCATAGATGACCACAAACTGTACTGAACACAAAACTAGTCAATGCATGGTACAAAATGCATTTAGTATACAAGGAAGTTAAACTTCATCCCGTAGGTATCACTTTAGGACAATTTAGGACATCATAGATACCATCTGGATATTGGAAAAGGAATTTTTTAAATGTCTGAAATCTATACGACTTAAAGATTTTATAAAAAATATAAAAGAAATTATCCTTTTACAAACTAATAAACATTTTTTTCTTAATTTGAAGTTGTTAGCTATTCCATTAGTTAGGCAACTATTTACTATTAATTGCATGCTTTTGGTAGGATTCTGACGATTTAGTCACTAGCATTATTTTATTGCAGTTAGACTTGCAGCACTATTTCAGATCAAATTTATATAAAATGATAGCTTACTGGACCATAGCATTTTTTATTATACTTGAGTTTTGATAATAGTGTTTTCATTTTGCAGTGTTTCATATGGTATTGCGTGTTATTAGATGGACTTTAAAATGAAAATTGATTTATGGCAATTTTCATATTTTCAAATCGCTAACTTTTTACCATGGTAATTTGTGGTTTTTGTTGTTGTTGTTAAATGCCAGCGATTCAGTTCTGACTCATAGCAACCTTGTATAGGATTTCTGAGGAGTGGTTGGTAAGGTTGTACTACTGACATTGCCATTCAGACCGACCTTGAAGTCCAGTGCATTAACCACGCCAGGACTCCAATACATGGTTTAGATATATTCATAATTGTGAGTGCTACAAATGTATCTTATGCATGTATAAGTACAACCTAGTTTTTATTTATTTATTTTTAAGAGTTTCTATCTGACTCAGTAAAGTGAAATTAGCTCATGTTAATTTCAACACAATGTTTTTAGTAAAAGGATATGCCAATTTTATGACTCCTCCATAAAAGTTATTAAAAACATTTATGGGGCTGGGGGGAAATATTTGGCAGAGTAGATGATGTAGAGATAATAACATGGAACATTTCAGAGCGTAAGTATGTGTCTTAGGTACCTGTTGTTAAGTGTTATCTAGGTTGTTCTAACTCATAGTGACTGTATGTACAACAGAATGTAATACTTCCCAGTTCTGCATCCTCCTCACAGTTGTTACAGCTGAGCCACTTGTTGCCCCACTGTGTCAGTTCATCTCTTTGGGGAATCTTCCTCATTTTCTATCATGATGTTCTCCTCCAGGGACTGGTCCCTCCTGATAACATATCGAAAGTATGAGAGACAAAGTCTCACCATCCTGGCTTCTCAGGAGCATTATGACTTACTTCTTCCAACACAGATTTATTAATTCTTCTAGCAGTCCATAGTATTTTCTCTAACACCTTAATCTAGATGTATTGATTTTTCTTTGGCCTTCCTTATTCATTGTTCAACTTTCACATGCATATGAAATGACTGAAAATACCATGGCACATTCCATTATCATACTTTGTCTTTGTGAACTGCTGTTTGGAATTTTCTTTATTGCTCTCTTACCTCCTCATTTCTTCAGCTTGCTTTAGTATCTTTATGCTGGAGAGGAAGTTTCAGAGTCTCTACTGACATCCATTTTGGGCCTTTTGTTTTTTTCTGTGTTCTTAATGTCTTTTTGCTGTCTTCCTGTTTGATGTTCTTGATGTCATCCCATAACTCTCCTGGTCTAATGCATCAAATCTGTTCTAGAGATGGTGTCTAAATCAGGTGGGATACTTTCAAGGTCATAGTTTGGCTTTTGTAGACTTATTTTCATTTTCTTCAACTTCAACCTTAACTTACATATGAATAATTGATGGTCTCTGGCCTTGTTTTTGTGTGATGATGTTGAACTTCTCCACCATCTCTTTCCACAGATGTAGTCAATTTGATTCCAGTATATTCTGTCTGTGAGATCAATGTGTATAGCTGTCTTATATGTTGTTGAAAAAAGATATTTGTAGTGAGTAGTCATTTGTCTTGCAAAAGTCTAACATGCAATCTTCAGCATCATTTCTATCACCAAGGCAATATTTTACAACTAAACATCCTTCCATTTTGTTTCCACCTTTTACATTCTAATCACCAGTAATTATTAGTGCATCTTAATTGCAGATTTGATCAATATCAGACTGAAGAAGTTGGTAGAATTCTTCATTTTCATCATCACTGACTTTATTGGTTGGTTCATAAATTTGAATAATAGCGGTATTAACTGATTTTCCTTGTAGATGTTTGGATATTATCCTATCACATACAGCATTGTACTTCAAGATAGATCTTGACATGCTCTTTTTGACAATGAATGAGATGCCATACCTTTTCAATTTGACATTCTTTCCTAGCATAATGAGCCATATGATTGTCTGATTCAATTCCAGTCCATTTCAACTTACTGATGCTTAGGATATTTATCTTTATGTGCTCCACTCCATTTCCCTCTTCCCCCAGGTTTTCTAGATTCATAGTTCAATCATTCCACATGCCATTTATTAATGGATTTTTATAGTTGTTTCTTTTCTTTTGAATTGTGCCCCATTAGCAAATGAAGGTCCTGAAAGCTTTGCTCCATTCATATCATTATGGTGAACTCTGCTTTGAGGTGGCAGCTCTTCCCCAGCCTTACTTTGAGTGCCTTGAGGGGCTCTGTATTTGACACTGTTCTTTTTTCTTCTGTTCATAATGTTTTTATCTTCCAGCATTGTATCTGATAATGTTACGCTGCTACTCATAAAGTTTTAAGTGACTAACCATTCTGAAATGGTGTGCCTCTCCTTATTCCTAATTTGTCTTAGTAAGGTAGTTCTACTGAAACCTGTTTACCATGTGTGACCATACTGGCATTTAAAACACCGATGACATAGCTTTCAACATCACAGCAACACACAAGCCACTGGAGTATGACAAATTGAGAGATGAGTGAGGTTCTTAGTTATCTAGTTTTCTGTAACAGAAATATCACAAGGGAATGGCTATACCAAACCAAAATTTATTATTTACAGATTGGGATTCTAGAAGTCCAAATTCAGTATTCCAGCTATGTGTGAAGGCTACTCTTTCTGTTGGCTTTATAGGAAGTTACTTGCCTCCCTTTAAAATCTGTGAGTCTGGTGTTCATTGGAGAGCTCCATGTATCTTGGCATCAGTTTAATCTTAGTCCAGGAGGTTCTAAGTTCAGGGATCCCAGGCTCAAAGGATGAACTCCCCTATGAGCTCTTCTTTTTTTGGGAGTTCCTCCCTCTCTTCTAAGATATAAGATGGTACAAGCCACATATTTGAGAAATTCTCCTGACATTTAATCAGGTCTTTGAGTTAGGGTGGTAATTTAAGTAAGAATGATGCATCCCATCCTAGCCCTGTATTACCAATGTAACAAACATAACCTAATCCTGCCTCATTAACTACTGGCAGATGTTAGGATTTGCAACACTTTATAAAATAGAAGATAATGACACAATACTGGAAATCATGACTAGCCATGGTGATGCATATTTTTGGGGTACACAGATCAAACTCTGATAATATGTGTGTATAGATAATTAATGGCAAAAATAGTATTTCAAAGAAAACAAAGAAGCTTCATAAGAAAGTACATGTTAAGTAAGTGACTTGATCTTTTTGAACATTTATGTAGGTGTTATGATATTAAACAGTTTTTATTGATTTAGCTAAAAATATTTGAAGTGGGAAAGTAGTGGTGTAAGAAAGGAAAATCCTGACTTATTGTCAAAGTCATTAGTTATAACATGTAGTTGTGAAGAGTGCTTTGTAGCTAATTGCCTAAATTCACTTATTAATTGCTCTGGGGACTCTGTAACTGGAGATTAATTAATTTAACTTTTAGCGAAATGAAAATGATAAAAAAGAAAAAAAAAATCATCCTTAACTTTTTTTGTTGTGAAAAGTGAATAAATCAACATACATAAAGCACTTTGAATTGTGCATGTTAATATTAGTTATGGTCATGATAATAGTTTATAGATAGTAGCTAAAATTGTTAAATCAAGAAATAGCAAGACACACATATTATATAGTAATATGGAGTTAACTAAGGAGCTCTGGTAGCGTAGTGGTTATGAATCGGGCTGTGAACCTCCAGGTCAGCAGTTCGAAACTACCAGCTGTTCCATGGGAGAAAGATGAGGCTTTCTGCTCCCATAAAGATTTACAGCCTCGGAAACCCTG